GATGGATGGATGGATGGATGGATGGATGGATGGATGGATGGATGGATGGATGGATGGATGGATGGATGGATGGATGGATGGATGGATGGATGGATGGATGGATGGATGGATGGATGGATGGATGGATGGATGGATGGATGGATGGATGGATGGATGGATGGATGGATGGATGGATGGATGGATGGATGGATGGATGGATGGATGGATGGATGGATGGATGGATGGATGGATGGATGGATGGATAGATAGATAGATAGATGGATGGATGGATGGATAGATGGATGGATGGATGGATGGATGGATGGATAGATAGATGGATAGATAGATAGATAAATGGATGGATGGATGGATGGATGGATGGATGGATCGAGCTCTTTGGGAAGTTAAGAATTAAAGATTATAACCTCTGTGTGTGTGTGTGCTACAGGGCCGTTTCACCATCGCAGCCAAACATCACATCACCATAGCTGAGGTTTATGAATCGGAGCTGGTGGACATTGAAAAGGTAAATGAATTGTCTGAATTTCTGTTCACTCTGTCTGTGGTAATGAGAGGTCGTAGGTCAAATGCACTCCTCACTGTATCTCGAGACCTACGCACCATTGATGCTGCTGAGTAAAAATATGTGTGTTTTTTTTTTTCCAGGCCATTGCACACTATGAGCAGGCAGCAGATTACTACAAGGGGGAAGAATCTAACAGGTAAAATGATAATGTTTACTCCTGACACGGATAAATCGCCACTGTGAGTTTAAAAATCATTTCCAAAAATAGCTAGCTTAAGAATGTTTTGATTTCAGGCTCAGGTAGAGAGCCGTCCAAAACATGAAGGAAAATCACATTTGATACATGGAAAAATAGTCCAGAGATATTTTAATTAAGATTGTAATCCTGTGTAACAGGGGGGAAAAATAGTCCAGAGATATTTTAATTAGTATTGTAATCAATTCAAAAATAATCCAGTCCTGTAGGTCATTTGGTAGTGGGCCGCACTGGGGCACAAGGAAAAACTGTACTTCAGTTTTACTAATTTAATTCATTCAAAAATAATCCAGTCATATCCCTTTAATTTTTTTCATCAAAAGTAGAGATGTCCGACATTAACCTTTTGCCGATATCCGATATGCCGATATTGTAACACTCAATTTCCGATTCCAATGTCAAGGAATACCGATGTAGCAGGGGCAGTGATGGCCTGGTGGTTAAGGAAGTTAAGTACCGCTTACTAAGGTGATGGGTTAAAGATTACCGTATTTGGGTTAATAAAATAAGCTGCAATGCTGCCATCTAGTGTCTTTCACTTTCATATACAGCCGTTCCTCAAAACCATTTTAAAGACACATTTGGCCAAAGCCAGGCATAGCGTTATCGGGTTTTCATTATTGGAGAAAAAAAAAAGATAACGATTCTTACAGATATTACATCATTATGCTAATACCGAGCCGATATTATTGGACATCCCTAATTAAAAGATAATCTGTCAATGTTTCAAAACAATAGCTCATTCAGGCTCTGATACTAACAGAATAAAGTCTAAAAGATGTTTTATTTAGAAACTTTCTTGAGCAAATCTCTAATATTACAAGTACTACTTAAATCCTTCATCCACCTCTATTACCAACTCTGATTTGCAGGAGATGTATTCCTTTTGTAAGGACATTTTTTTGCTTCCACTCTTCCCAAGTCTTTTGGCACTTACTGATGTTATTGTTGTTGTTGTTGAAATTCGTATTATTAACACGTACTGTAGAGGGAGAACAGTGAAGGAAACAACAATATTCAGGTTTCCCTGTGTCTGCGTTTTAGCTCGGCCAACAAATGTCTCCTGAAGGTGGGTCACTACAGCGCTCAGCTGGAGCAGTACCAGAAGGCTATTGAAATCTATGAACAGGTAAGAGCTGAACACATGGTTGTGCACACGTCCTTTCACTACACTGTGCTCTGGTTTAAAAAGGGTAGGAAATCATCATGTACTATATATACCATATATATATATATATATACATCTTAGTTGACTTATGACTTCATTTGCTAATATAGATATTTCAGAGTTTTTGTTAAATTCATTTTTGGCTACTTTTAGGTTACATTTTGAACCGATATTTTTTAAGCTTTGTTTCTATATATTTGGATGTTTCTGCTGTTACTGGCTGGGGTCTCCAACCCCTGGTCCAGGGACCGGTGGCAGTCCATAGGTCATTTTCAGTTTCACTAAAAGAATCCAGTCATATCCCTTTACCTTTTTGTTATTAAGATAATCTGTCAATGTTTCAAAACAACAGGTCATTCAGACTCTGATGCTAACAGAATAAAGTCTGGAAGATGTTGTATTTTGAAAATTTAATGATCCTTCAACGATGGCACAGTATTACCGGTCCACAGTAATGGCTGATATTGGCCGACTGGTACTTGGTACAAAATTTCATGCACTTGTAAAGACAGTTTTAGAGATTTTGGAGAGGTTTTTACCCAGAGCTTTAAATATTATCTGAACTGCTTGAAAGCTTTTTTTTTTACAGATGCTACAGCTACACAAATGCTAAACCATAAATATGTTTGTTTCAGGTTGCCATGAATACCATGGACAATCCTTTGTTGAAGTACAACGCTAAAGAGTATTTCTTCAAGGCTTCACTGTGCCACTTCATAGTGGACGAACTAAATGCCAAGGTAATTGCAAATACTCACACAGACACCACACACACGCGCATGCAGTAGTACTACTCTATAATGTGTGTAATTACGCGCATGGTACGTGAATGCAAGCTGCTCTGCTCCTCGAGCTAGCTTGTAGCTAGCTAGCGCATGTTTGCTTATACTTTTTCTTATATTAAACAAATTAAATAATTATTGAGTAGTGACTAAAAGTGATAAAATGCATTCTAAAAGTTGACGCTAATTTACATATTCCGTAAGCATTGTCTGTGAGTTTGCAATGGAGGTGCCCGACCAGAAGCTAATGCTGTTTGGGGGACTTAGCATGAAAGTGTTTGTTAAACACAGCCATAAATGAATATGAAATTACAAAGTGGATTTAAAAAACAAGTGACAATAAAATAGGTAAATAAAAAATACTTAATGTAGATTTGTAGGTAGACATTTTAAAGTTAAAAAAAAACACTGAAAAAAAAAACTGTGGTACGTTACCCAATAGCTAAGTTGAAGTTCAGGCCTGGACATACCTGTTAAAGACAATAGGGTAAATGTGTCTCATATAAAAAGAACTGACATCCAATCTTGTTCTGTCCCACTTCACTGTCTACATACCTATTAAAGACAATAGGGTAAACGTGTCTCACATAAAAAGAACTGACATCCCTGGATACATGTGTTTTTCAGCTGGCCATTGAGAAGTATGAGGAGATGTTTCCAGCCTTTTCAGACTCAAGGGAGCTCAAACTGTTGAAGGTATGCCTTGTTCTACTAGTGACTAACACAGGTTTATAAAAAAATGTAAGTTTCTGCAGTCTGAAATATAGAAATATTTTAGTAGTTTGCATGTCACACCCTAGGCTAAGACCTGTAGCAGCACTTTAGTTGTTCTAACGGGCTTGTATAAAAAGATACTTCTTGCTCCGATCACTTTCAGAAACTTCTAGATGCCCACGAGGAGCAGAACAGCGAGGCATTCACGGAGGCCGTCAAGGAGTTTGACTCAGTGTCTCGTTTGGACCAGTGGTTGACCACCATGCTGCTCCGCATCAAAAAGACCATCCAAGGAGACTCTGGAGACCTGAAGTAGACAAAAAAAAAAAAAAGTTTGAGATGTACTATAAACAAGAAGAAGTAGATAAATATCACTGTATAGGGCGGGTTTGTGTTAAAAAAAAAAAATTAAGAGTGTGGGGAAAATGTCTTTTTTTTTTGAAAGATTATAAAAATAAAGATGGAGTGTTGCAGAGATATATGGTGAGGCGGCGAAAGAGAGAGGGAGTTCTGAATTTGTTGATACTCAGTCTGCATGTGACCCCCCCCCCTCCCCCCCATCTACAAACTAAACATTGTGTCCCCACTTCTACAGTATTCCACTCTTGTAACACTGGACAGAGTGACCAGAGGTGATCGAGTGTGCGTGTGCGCGAGCGTGTGTGCGTGCGTGCGTGGACTGCAGTGAAGTAAAGGAAAACTGTTCGTGTAAGATGTCGAATTTACGTGAAATTTAATAACATAGATTATCGACAGAAGGGTGATGATGTTATTTATGAAATTGTCAACACTACGTTATTTATTGGTTATTACGGTGCTCAGTGTTACACTTGTAGTGTGTTTAGCTCTAGGCGTTAGCTCCTCCCGTTTCCCTTCTTTTTAATGGGTCTTCCTCCTCTTCCTCCCTTCGTTATTACCTATCTTCTTTTCTCCTGCTTTTTTTCCCTATCTTGTCATCCATAGACCTCACCTCCCCCCTTCTCCCCCTCTCCTCCTTTTGAGTCTTATATAACCTCTGTGGTTCGTTGTGTTGAGGCCGACAGTCGATCAGTGCATTTCGCCTCCACCATTTGTCTCTGCCACTGTCTGTGCATGTCTGTGGTCAAGTGTTCTCTGTGTATTCTGCTAACGTGTGAAGACTGGACATCTACACCTAGCCTTCCACCATTTTTGTGCAATCAGTAACTGTGTACCCCACATGACAAGTTGAAATAAAGAGCAGTTGCTCAACCTATTGATCCTGAATGTCATTTTTTTTTTTTAAATCATCATTAATGTGAGCAATTTAATGGTTCAACTGTACAGTTTGGGGTTGTAAAAATTGAGAATTTGTAATGTTAATATTTCATAATATGTCCAGAAAATCATTGTTTTTTTAAGATTAAATAGACAATATAACAAAATATAAAAATAATCAAAAGGCAATATACACCGATCTGGTCATGTTAAAGTTATATTCAGGCAAGTATGAAGTATATGTAACAATTTCCTCAGATCTCAGAGGTATTTATATTTTCTGAAATATGTCACAATTGTCAATATATTTCTGCATGTAACATTTGAGTAAATTTGAATTTAAAAAAAACAGAAAGGGACCAAGTAGTGTACCCTGTGGAATCCCAGTGCTTGCTGCTCATTATTGTCTACAGCTATACATCAACCATCCTTTCATACTGTGGCCATTCAACACTACGGCGTATACTGTCATTTAAAATATCTACCTAAATCTCAATATATATGTCTGTCTCTGGCTCGTCTGGAGACTAAAAATGACAATAAAGGAGGTAAGGAAAAATATTTTATTACAAAATCCAATCTTGGCAATATATACAGTACCCACCACAATGTAAACCGATAATTATTTACATAACATTGCGAGCATGCCGTGACTTAAATTCCGCATTTGTAAATGTACAAAGTAACTACCATGTACAACATGTATGTTTGTGTCACGGTGTTTCAGGGCTTCTTTTTCTCCCTCGTGGACTTCTTCGTTTTCATTTCTCTTAGAAGACAGTACACCCTGATCTTTGCTCTCCGCTCTCTGTCTTTCAAGTTCCTCATCTGTCGCTCGAGATGCTCCAGACGAATCAGGGCGTCGCAGAGTCTGGACTTGAGCAGGGTGGGAGACTCCGGCAATGCATAAGAATGGTCCTGGTGGATAGAGTAAAACGAATTTATTAAATTGGGAAACATTTGCAAACACTAGTTTTCGAAGGTTCCTTATGATCTATCTAAATGTTAGGAATTAAAATTTAATTAAATGTATTATAATTTAAATGATATTCTTACCAGATTAGGGAGAGGTTCTGTCTCTTTGACATTTGACACAGAACATTCCACCGTAGCGCTCTCTTCAGTATTCCTTGAGGTCTGTGTTGTCTTTTTTGCCCTCGACTAAATTGGATGACCAAAAAATGCCTTAAATGTTTTTTTTATTTCCCCATCAGCCGGGTGATAGAGGCCTAACTTTCTAAACAAATAAGTAGTGATATACTTACTCTGCGACAGTGAGAAGAGAAACTGAAGACAGAGGGTTTAGCACCCTCTCTTATTCGAACCACTTGACCAGTCCTGTCAAAGTCTTCTTGCCTAAAGTGCTCACTGCAGAGCACAGAGGACTTGCTGAGGGAACAGACTTGCCTGCGCGCGGCTACCTCCCACTGCCTTCTCAGATCCTTCTTTTTGGGGAACCTTTAAAGTGTGAAAAAGGTTGCATTAATATTTGGCTAGTTGAAGAATAAACATTTTTGAATAAAATGCAGTTATTATAAAAAAGTAATTTTCGATCATTATCATGTCCTGTTCTTAAATAGTTCTCAAGTATTGATAGCAGTAGTACTAGTAGTAGTGTATAAATCTACAGGCACTAAAAGATTAGTCTGGTTCGTAAATTACACCATATCTGGGAGACTCAAACACCAATAACCACTAACCCACAGCTACATTATTACGTAGTCTACTAGAAACTAGTTTTTAACAGCGTAGTTATCCGTTATATCTTCCAAATGTCTTCAAAATCTACTTAACATCTTTAAAATCACGGTTATTACTACGTTAATAGACAATAATTAATTAGGGTGTTTATTTTTTTTTGCAATATTTGAATTTAACCAGTACTAGTATTAGTACTATGCTTTAATTAGATAAATGTCAAAAAAATAAATATATACCTGTGAAACGTAATTCCTTTAGATCTGTTTTGGCGTGTGCGACGGTTCGTACAACCCCAAGCTGAACACGACTCCGGCATTGCTGTCGTCGTGTCCCGGACCAATGTGGCGAGTGCTGTGCTCCTACGTTTCGCTACCGGCTAAAAACAACCTAGAAACAATTCCGTTCCTGTTCGCTTTCGTGTACTTGTGAACTTGGCTGTTGCGAGATTGTCTCTATCCATTGGGTAGATATAGAAAATAGAAAATAATAATATCAATTTTGTATAACCTAAATGATTACGGTATCTATATCTATATTTTTTGACAAGCCAATTCATTCACTCTAATTTATACAATAGATATACAAATATATAAATTTTTTTTTTATTTTTTGCAACCCCAATACAGTCATTTAAAGTATAAAGAAATGTATTTACATTGAATTTTGTACACAAACATCCTTTAATCATATTATTTAATTGGTAATATATTACAGGGATAGTTTCCTTAAATGGTGACGGTCCTTTATTTTTCATTAATATGTTAAATAATGAATATAGCTAACACGTGTTATAATCTTAACTTAATTACAGAATTTTTTCAACTATTCTCTGTGTTGTCAGTCACACCGAAATATTGTTATAGTTGTAGTCAAGGATTTTCGAAGTCTAACATTATGGTCCACAACAAATGGACTCTTACAGAACGGATGACGATTACCCACAATTCATTTCGATAAAGCGTTCGGTTCCCCAAGTTTCCTGCGCACGAAGAAGTGCTGCACGTTCTACGTCGCTGTGTTCTGTTTAAGCAGGACTGTGTATTGTCCCTGCAGGTGTGGAACCGTTTAAACGTTTACTTTGAGAGAGGAAACCTCCACAAACCGCCAAGATGCCGCGTATTATGATAAAAGGAGGTGTTTGGCGCAACACTGAGGTACGTGTTTACGTGACAGGCGCTTTTAGCTTGATGCTAATTTTTGTGAAGCATACGAGTTTTAGCTAGCAAGAAGCTAGCCGCTAATTTTGACTGTATCTGGTTGAGATAAAGTTGTACCTAAACAACCCACCTCCTACCACCACAATGGCGGAAAAACAAACGCAGGTTTTAAGATTAAAAGGCCCGCCAAAGAAATTGTGTTGTGAAGTGGTATTGCAAAGTAGTGAGAGGATGAATGGCTCATCGAAAGTTAAGCCAAGTAAATTATTAGTCGAGATAAACAATAATGGTGGGTATGCATACAAGAAAAACAACAGTACGTAGAGTTAAAAGTAGACAGAAGAAACCCTAGGTAAATCACAAGGTAACTTCTGCCTTGCTCAAAAATGTTTTTAAATTTAAATGAATGACAGTAACGCTTCAACAGAGTGCTACACCCATTGCTTGGATTGGTCAGTTTTAAATTCCAGGACTAGGTTAATAACACTGTGCTGTATTGGTCAGTGATGCTGTTAAGGTTTTGACGTATATTCAAAACAAATATACCGTAGGTTGAGATCTGATTTTAATACAGGAAAAGAAACCGCCAATCAAAAGTTAAGCCCAGACCACAAAATGTTCTTGGAGCTTTGTATCAGGCTATAATTAGATATGTTCATTATGTCTGTCTGTCTTTTATTTCACCCCATCTCAGGATGAGATCCTCAAGGCAGCGGTGATGAAATATGGCAAAAACCAGTGGTCTCGTATTGCCTCGTTGCTGCACCGCAAGTCGGCAAAACAGTGCAAAGCCAGATGGTAAGTTTCATACAGAAGATATGCATGCAAATGAGCTACTTCTTTTAACCATTGTGATTACCAGTAGAGACATTGCTTAATCTAATCTAAAATAATGATGATTTTTTTTTACATGGTATTGAAGTAGTCACCATGTGACAATGCATTGAAAAAAATCTTTCACTACTATTGGAGGGAAAGCAGATCAAAAAGCAGCCAACTTATAAAAAGGTGAGGGAAAGCAGATCAAAAAGCAGCCAATTTATAATATAAAGGTTTGAAATGTCCTCTATAAAACATGGGGATATATCCCTAAGGAGTACTTGCAAAAAATGCATAAAAGCCATTATACTGCTGGAAATAAATATTGGTTTAAAATATGTTAGGACCATACAGTACTTTTTCGAATCATTTTTTTTCTCCACCCCTGCTCTAGTTTTAATATCAAACCTAAACAAGTGGCTAAACCTAATCGAACCCACCTGAAACTGATCAGTTCAAGCATTTCTTCTCAAAACTAAATTGAATTAGGTTTAAATGCACCATCAAACAGGGTTTGCATATATAATAGCTGTTATTTAACTGTAAAACGGACTGTAAATTGAGAGTGTCTTTGTCCAGGTACGAGTGGTTGGATCCCAGCATCAAAAAGACAGAATGGTCCAGGGAAGAGGAAGAGAAGCTGTTGCATTTGGCCAAACTGATGCCCACTCAGTGGAGGACCATTGCTCCTATCATAGGACGCACGGCCGCCCAGTGTCTGGAGCATTACGAATATCTGCTGTACGAAATCATCGACGTTTATTTATTTTATTTTATTTTCTATATAAGTCGTGGGAATTCCCAACGTGATGGTTCCATGCATGTGTCAAACAATTGTGTGTTTTAGAGACAAAGCGGCTCAAAGGGAAAATGAGGAGGAAGTGGGTGATGATCCCAGGAAGTTAAAGCCCGGGGAGATCGATCCCAATCCTGAAACTAAACCAGCCAGACCAGACCCAGTAGATATGGACGAAGGTATGGTGCTAAATGTTGTTAAGATGTGAACATTTCCAGAAAGTTATGCCTCTAGCTTCTTCTTCTCATTAACATAAAACTTTTAGTTTGTTGCAGCGACTGTTACGTTGTTTATCTGCTCATGCGGGTCATTATCAAGATTGACTTGATTGTCTCTTTTCGTTAGACGAGTTGGAGATGCTGTCAGAGGCTCGCGCTCGACTGGCTAACACTCAGGGCAAAAAGGCTAAGAGGAAGGCCAGAGAGAAACAGCTGGAGGAAGCCAGGTGAGCAGAAGTGTGTTTTGAGGGATTTTTTTTTTTTTTGTTTTGTTTTTTTTAAAAAAGCAAATTTAATTCGTCTTTATCTCATTGCAGACGTCTGGCAGCACTGCAGAAGCGCAGGGAGCTGAGAGCCGCAGGAATTGACGTTCAAAAGAAGAGAAAGAAAAAGCGAGGAGTGGACTACAATGCTGAGATTCCCTTTGAAAAGAAGCCTACACAGGTAAATGAGAATGAGTATTGATGCAAGTTAAAAGGAGGAGGCAGATGCAAAAACTGGTCCTGATGTCGTGGCTTCAGATTGAACAGGGTTTACACCTTGGTTTATTCACACGTTTATGGTTTCATGACTCATCGGAGTTTTAACTTGTAGGGATTTTACGACACCAGCATGGAGCAGTACGATGCCCTGGAGCCAAACTTCAAACGCCTCAGACAGCAGCGTTTGGATGGAGAACTACGCAAGTACGTCTGCGAGCAACTATAGTTAGCACCTACGGATGCACCAGTCCAACATCCCCACAAGGGGGTTCGTTGAATGACGTTTCCTTATTGTGATAGGGATTTCCTGGTTCCTGGATTTGCTGTTTTTGAACCACACCATCCTTAACATTAACTCTGTGTTGTGTGCAGTGAGCGCGAGGAGAGGGAGAGGAAGAAAGACAAACAGAAGATAAAGAAGAAGAAGGAGAGCGATCTTCCCTCGGCCATCCTTCAGACCAGCGGGGTTGCCGAGTTCACCAAAAAACGCTCCAAGTTGGTTCTGCCCGCACCACAGGTGTGTAACGTTCCCAAATGCCCGGTTGAAATTTCTAGGAGCAATCGTTTGACACTCATTTGACGAACTTTTTTTCATTTTCATAGATCAGCGATGCCGAGTTGGAGGAAGTGGTAAAATTAGGCATCGCCAGCGAGGTCGCACGTCAGGCGGCTGAGGAGAGCGAAAGTGGTAACTCGGCCTCATCCACGCTTCTGTCTGAGTACAGCGTCACCAACATGTCAGCAGGGCTGCGTACCCCCCGCACTCCCACTGTCCAGGACAGGATACTACAGGTACACAGTTTTACCATAAATAGTAAAAAAAAAAAATACAAATTGATCATCTCTGTTGTTGTCTGATTATGGAGAAAAAAAAAAATACAAATTGATCATCTCCGTTGTTGTCTCTGTGTGTGGATTACGGATTTCCTGTGTTTGGATTTTCAGGAAGCTCAGAACCTCATGGCTCTGACCAACATTGATACACCTTTGAAGGGTGGCCTCAACACGCCACTGCACGAGAGTGACTTCAGTGGAGTGACGCCACAGCGTCAGCAGATCCAGACGCCCAACACTGTCCTCTCTACACCGTTCAGGTTAACCCCCCCCCCCCCCTCATCTGTTATGTTATTCCAAAAACACCGCTGAGACTGTAAATGATAATACTCTCCACCATGTCTCTCATATCTTCTTCAACAGAACTCCTGGACAAGGTCAGGGGTCAGAGGGTATGACCCCTCAATCCGGTGGAGTGTTGACTCCACGTGGGCCTGTGACACCAGGCTTGACCCCGGGCCGTACGCCTCTGAGGGACAAACTGAACATTAACAGTGAGGAGCAAGTGACTGCTCCGGCCTTTGCTAAACACATGGTAAACAAACATGGGTCGGGATGAGACGGAAACTCCCAACAATTTGATTATTTTTTGCCTGGAGTTGAAAATTTAAATAAAATATTTTTTTGCTTAACTGTAAATGCTGGAAACTTAACCGTTGCCATTTTCCTTACACACACAGCAAAAGGAAAGCCTGCAGCAGCTCAAGCAGGGTCTGATGTCACTTCCTCTTCCCAAGAACGACTTTGAGATTGTTCTTCCAGAAAACGCAGAGAAAGAACTGGAGGAGACAGAAGTAGAAACAAATTTTGTTGAGGACTCCTCCGATATAGAGGCACGCAAACAGGTACGAACTGTGCAGCGGTCTGTCCAGCCTCAGGATAAAACTTGATTCAAGTTGAATGCACTGTGGATATGATCTTTTTATTCCTTCAAGACGGTATAAGACGTATAGACGTTAATTTCGAGTATTAGTGAATATTTAAAAAAAAAAAATCAGGTAATGTTTTATACTTTTAAAAACAGATTGTGCAGGGTTGTCATTAGTATGTCTGCTGCTTAACTTTGTTCTCATCATCAAGACAGCGCCACCAACTGGATAGTAAATTATTAAATTAAGTAGTAAGTGTTTATTGATATGATTCACACCAACTGGATAGTAAATTATTAAATTGAGTAAAGTGTTTATTGATATGACTCATTTTTGTACATATTAGCATTAAAACCTGAATCTGGGATTAGATTTTTAAACATCAGAATCAACAAAAAATAACTAAATAATAATTTATTAATAAAATAATTTCACTCTAACTTATCATTCACCGAACTCTTGGCTGCTTGTATCTCTGTGTCAGGCTGTGCGAGAGGCCGAGAGACAGAAGGAGTTGAAGCTGCGTCACACTCCTGTCCAGAGAAGTCTGCCGAGACCATCAGAGGTAACAACGCACCTTGAAAATGGAACTTTTTTTTTTTTTTTTTTTTAAACCAACCCTTTCATCAAAATCAGAAACTGCAGTCGATTTCCTTCTCTAAATGATGAGCATCTTGTTGCATCCCGTTTACAGGTGAATGAGTCAGTCCTGCGTCCCGGCTCCATGGAGCCCCTCTCTGACCTCCAGCTGGCCGAGGAGCTGATCAAACAAGAAATGATCACCATGCTCCACTACGACTGTTTGCACCACCCGTCGGCCAACGCAGCCAATCCACTGCAGCGCGGCAAAAGCCGAGGCCCGACGTCCACGTCCAATAACGCTTCGCACATCTCTTACCTGGAATCGCATCCTTACGAGCCGCTCCCCACAGAAGACATGGAGCAGGTGAGATGTTATTGGCTGAGTTTGTCAACAATAACAGATTGTCTTCACATGAAGACGCTACTGTCTTACAATTTATAAAAATGTAAAAAAACAACTTTTATTCAGCGCAGATTCACAGAACATAAATAAGTATGGACGAAAAGATCGAAACGTAGAAACTTCTTTTGTCCTTTTTGCCTTCTTACACTGTTGATCAGCTGTAAGTGACAGACTGAGTCTTGTAGATTGATTAATTATTTGAAGTCAAGCTGCCTTGACTCTTAGGTGACCTAAGGTCTGTCACAACTTCAAACTTTAGAACAAGGATGCCCACACTCTCTCTATAATCTACTTACATTGAAAATATATATATATATTTATATTTAAATATATATTTACTCAAACTGAATAATATGAATATGGCACAATATGACCCAATACCTATATTCTCAATTTAGCCTAACTGATTAGCATCTAAAAAAAATAGAATTGCATCTATGATGATTTATTTATTCACTTTTTAAAAAAAAAAATGTATTTAATTTCTCATGTTCTACTAGCACTTTCGTGGCCATCTACTGGTAGTTTGCGATGTGAATCTGCTCTAATAATTTTCTTTCCAGAATAAATAAAATTAGCATACCACAGTATGTGCTTGTCAACGTGTTTGGCTAAGATTTTCTGTATGCTAATAAACAGGCTAAAACAATACTGGCTGGAGAAATGGAAGTGGTAAAGGCAGGAATGGGCCACGGTGACCTGAGCATGGAAGCGTACAGCCAGGTGTGGGAGGAGTGTTATGGTCAGGTACGTATCGCTACATCGTACAGAATAAGTTCAAATCAACCTCAGTTTTTAGCAGCTGTGATTCACGTTTCTCCCTCTTTCCTCAGGTGTTGTATCTCCCTGGTCAAAACAGGTACACCAGAGCGAATTTAGCATCGAAGAAGGACAGAATTGATAGTCTGGAGAAGAAACTGGAGGTACGGGAAAAACACTTGAGGTGCAACACAAGTGTAGAGAAAAAAAAAAAAACCCAAACACTGAGGTGTTCTCTCTCTTTCCAGATGAACCGTGGGCACATGACTGCGGAAGCCAAAAGAGCTGCCAAACTGGAGAAAAAACTCAAGATCCTCCTGGGAGGGTTTCAGTCCAGAGCACTGGGACTGCTGAAGCAGCACAGTGAGATCTGGGAACAGGTGAG